CCCCGGTGTTTCGTAATAATAACGAAACTGCAGCAACTGCGATCCGAATTTTATAGAAAAATCATTTCTCCCTCGGCTCCGATGAATTTAGATGAATAATGGCACGCTTTATTCGGATCTGTCCGTATTCAGCAGGGGATCATTCATGGTCGACTCGACGAGGACTTTTCTTACGTAAAGGTGGAAGTCGACGTTCGCGGAAGCGACGCATGTGGACACTGCCGTTCAGCATTCTTACTTCGAACACAGTTTCTCCTCTCTCCGGGGACTCATTAGACTCACACTATCGCGGCTCGCAATTATCGTGAACCCATTGAACCTGACTTTCCCTTTAGTTGACAAAGATCGTCTTCGGACTGCGGAGATCACGCGGAAAGGTCACTTCCTTTCGGCGATCCTCGGACTTACGTCTGGCCAAACAATTTCCCAGCGAACTTTCCAGTCGAACGTATCGTATCTGCGACGATGATCCCATTGCACGCAGTTTCACCGTCCGTTCCGTTCGTTTATCTCGCGGAAACGAATCCACCGGTTGCAATCTATTCCGTTTAATCGAACCCCGTGAATATCCCCGCGAGGTTGAACAGAGGATTTCAAGGATAAACCGGAAAAAGTTGAGCGGCTTTTTATAGCAATTCGTATAGTTGTCTCATTGTCCCCGACCGATCAAGGAGTTCGTCGGTTTAGAGGACACTCGGAAGAAATTCCATTGAAAAGTTAGCTGGAACTCCGAGACACTGTTACCGGTACTTTCAGCGGACGCACGCATTTCGCGCGTCGAATTGCGAAACTTGACTCCGCTCGATCGTGTCGGGCGATTCGTCGAACGACCGTTTCGATTACGGCTTCGGCGAACTTCGAGACTGTTCCGGAACACGGGCAACCTGTACTTCTAGAGAGCTAAATCTAGAGACACCCATTCTCGCCGGCGAATGGAGAGAGGTAATAGGTTCGCGAGAATTTACTTTCATTCTTTCCGATACATGAAAAAATACGTACGAGCCAGGCCTTCGTTTAATCGGACTAGCTTGCATCTTTGGCATCAGTATAAAATCCTATTTATATCCCTCCCCTTCTCTTCCGTACCCGCGTAACGTTATTAACGCTGGAACCACAAGATGAGTCAGAATGACTCATTCCTGATTCCTATTTTCGAAATACTTAAAAACATACTTCTCCAAAAAAAACTACTAAAGAAACTAATCCAACAAAACTCAAACCGAAGTCAACGAAAATCTCAATAAACACAGTCTCGTAGTTCCGATAAAAGGAATCGAAGAAGTCGAATAGTCCCAGCGTTAAGTCGATGAATATCAGTCGCAGAGAAGGTCCAGGTAGTTCTTCAGCGACTCCGGTATCTGCAGAGCCTTGATGCCGTGCGGTAAAGCCCAGTTGGCGAACATCGTCTCTCTGATGCAGCATCTGCATAAGTGCCTCAATTCCGGCGGGCTTAGACCGCTTCGTTCGGGCGGGACCAGGTTACGTTCCACGAGGTTCGGATATTGCTCGTATAAGGAGATGCTGAAGACACCGCTCTGCTCGGCGATGTGGCTGGGCGTTTTGACGAACGCGGTGGTGACGGTCCTCAGCACCAGCCGCAGGCAGACGAGCAAGTGCTCCGGATAGATGACTTCGCCTTGGCCCGGCTGGAGATCGTACTCGTTCAGCTTGGTTAGCAGCATTTCCAGCGGCGAAGGAGCGATTTTATCGGACTCGACCGAAGCGCCGTAACGCAGCATCACGAGCAGGATGTCCGGGGAGCCGTGCTGAATGGCCACCCTCAACGGCCACGCCTGCCCGTAAGATTCCATGGGGACGTCGATCAGGCGTCTCTTGACGGCGGAAGATTCGCAGCGGTATTCGAGACGGCCGAGCGTCGCGTGGTGCAGGAAGTACACTAACGCTCGTATGTTCTCCTCGCGATCTTCGAAGTCGCTCTTCCAGCCGGACAGGAAGTGGGTGACCCGCGTGCCGAATATCGCGCCCACCATGATCCTCTCGAAGGTCTTCTCGCAGTAGAATATGTCGTTCAACAGTCGAGAGACGACCTCGTTGTTCTCCAAGTTCCAGTCGTAGCAGAGCTTCGCCGCTACGTAGAGAACGTTGTGGAACTTCCCCAGCATGCACACGTAACCGTTCTGCATCATCGCGATGTTGTGGTAGCGGAGGGCGGACATCACTATCCTCTCGCAGACGTCTTGCTTGTCCAGGTTCTCCGCTGCGTACAGAGAACGATTCGGTTATCATTTATTCGATTGAGCACTTGTCAACCTCTTCATTTACAGTATCGTGGCGATAATTTTAAATTGAATTTGAGAAATCTAAGTGTCGTTTGTATCTTTAAATGTGAATTAAATATTGTTATTCTACTATTAATCGTGAAACGTTGAAGTAGATATAGAATAATCATAAAAATTGCGCCTCTTACTAATGAATTATTAAGGATGAAGTAGTTACGATCGTAGCTAAGATTAAATTATAGGGCTAGGTGTAAAGTTTGATAAAACAATCCAGAGGCTATGCAGTAGACGTCGGTAGAAACTTAATATTCTACAATGAGAGGAAACCCGTGGAAATTCTAATTTCAGCTTTAGACTGACAGACGTTGAATGTCAGGAGGTACTATTAAAAATTCGAGAAGAGTGGAATTAAATAGAAAATGAGCTCATCAGTCTCGTTTCCCCGACTTTACAGTCTCCGCCGTTTCCGAGTTTCCGCGAGAGAACGCGGCAGCGTGAAGCCGCGGCGACCTTGAGCGGCGCATTGAATGTTACCTCGGCAACCTGTGAATATTTCTGCGACACAGGATACACGATCGAACGGGCGGCACTTTTTCCTCGGCGCGCCGATACTTTCGATCGCGCGTTCCCCGGCCAGTGTTTTGCATAATTTTTCGAAGAAAGCCGAATCGCGCGGCGCGCCGATGCGCAAGTTTCTCCCGCGTCTAGCATTACACCGGTATCACTTTCCTTCCGCTATCCCCGATCGAATCACTTTCATGGTCGCACAATAGAATTTCTATCGAGCCGTCCGACACGAACCTGGCGGCCACTGGCTCGGAAAATCTACACAGCTGCGTCGACAGTTCGACTCGGGCCTGCCTATATCACCGTTAGGCGTACGGTAAACTCGAATGGCTTCGCCCCATGATTTCTGGATTAATCTCGCGTCCCGCGGAGATCGTCGAAAAAGTATCGTCGTGTTTCGTTCGTTTACCTTGCGAGCAACTGTTTATCACGTCCGAGAAGTAGCTGACCATCTCGCGCCTTTTGTACCTGGACGCGAGGCAGCTGCGATCCATTTCGGCGAACAGCCTGTCGAAATAGCAATCTATCAGCACCTCCATCTTTCCCGATTAAAACGGCAACTCGCGACCAGCGACATGCACTAATTTCACGTCGTAGACACGAGTCCGTCCCGCTCTCGGCCCAAGAATGATAGCCGACACGAGGAACGCCCGGGGAACGGCGGAAGGCTAATTCGATTAGGTGTTAAATAAGTATTTCAAAGGTTTCCGTGGCTCGCCCCCTTCGCGAGCACGGGACCAGGCCCGTGGCGGATATTTCATCCCCGCCGAACGGCGGATAAACATGGCCAATTAACCGGGCACGTCGGCTGCCGGCGATTAGCGATTCCCATCGTCTCGGAAATTTATAGCGCGATCGCGGCGCTAAATTGCGCGGATACTTCTCGCGGTTGCGGTTTTCGAGAGCTGTCTCGACGCTCCGCGAGTAAATACTCGAACGGTATTCCCGGCGTGCCATTTACCGTGTAATACGTTTGGGGTCGCGTGGCATTTCATGAGTCTAATCGAAGTCATTTCAAGAAAATGTCCCGCGGTTCGCCGGGTGGCTGACGTTTCTGCAAATGAAACTGCCGCACGGTAAACAGCGCTGGAAACGTTCCTACGCCGTCTCTCTCGTGTTTGCGCCGGGGAAACCGAACGCCGAGGAATCGCAATTAAGAACAACTTGGAAAGATGTTTTAATGACTGTAGCCGGGCTACCATTCCCCTTCGTATCGAGAACATCGGAGGGCCATCGATCTTTTCAATGTTACTTTTTCTATCGATAAATAGTCGGGCAAAGGTCCGTCGGTGTCGGGGAATAGTGGTCCGCGGAGAAAGTGGCTTGCACGCAATCGAACCGTTCGGAATCTTTCATTGAATTATAACGCAGTAAATGCTACAAAGGATGGGGCGTTGAGAGTTCGTGAATTTATGGCGCGATAAAATCCCGAGCGCACGGTCGCGACTTTGCATGACACTGTAAGTGAATTAACGTTCTTTCGGGTTGAACTATTCGCTGATAAATCACGAATGTACTTACGGTTAAGAAAGTGTTTAGGACTGCCAGCAGTATCTTCGTTATATTTTGATGTATCTCCATTCGAACGCAAACTCAACTGAAAATACAAATGAAATCATATACTCTATGCTGTCAGATCATTCCAATAAAATCTGTCATTGTTTACGAAATAAATGTAGAACGCTCGAAATTCTCATTACAATGAACGCGTTGACACGTCCGCGGACGGTAAAAATTTTGAGCTGCGAAAATGGAGAAAATGCGAATTCAGTTCTCCGAGAGTTGCGTGACAATTTCAAAAAATTAAGGCTGTAGAATTAAGTGCGTAATAATATGGCTTATAAATTTGAATGTTACAGCATTCACGTCCGCGGAACTGTTAACGGACCAACTAATATTCCCGTTCGTTTGTCGCAGGTACCTGTGCATGCCCGAGAACCAGGACCCACAATTCCTACTGGAGTACAGAGGACCCGTGACGATGAAGGGAAAGTCGGAGCCCATGAACGTGTGGTTCCTCTCCAGGGAAACGACGCTGGGCCCGTAAATCCGCTATGACCGACGTCATCGTAGCAATACTCTTAAGACTCGAAACTGGCTCTAGATGAACGTTCAGATTTTTATGGTTCCGGTACACCGCGAATAATTATACATACGTAAACGAGAACGCGAACCTAGATTCGAAAGCTTCGCACCTACGTTTTATAACTCTTACTTCTGAGACCATTTAACCCTTTGACCTGATGACGGACCATATACATGTACGCGACAGCGACGCGGGGCCAGTATGACTCGCGGCGAAACATTTAGCCTCGTAGCACGGAGAAGGGCATTTTTGTTTGAAGATATTAGAGATATATTTATAAACGTGACAGTTGATGATTCCAGCTGTCACGTCAATGGGAAACAACGCGGTTCGTTCGTTCGCGACGGATCGAATCGAGTCAAGCTGACCCCGCATCCGGGTTAAGCTTCGATTTCATCAAAACATTCCGGAAACGTTGCATTCCATTATACTCCGTGGCGTTCGCAAACGGTGGCCTACTTCAATCGTTGCGACGCTCGAATACTCACACGACGAACTCGATCGGCCGTTTCAATTCCCGGCGGGAAGCTTCTCGAATAAGTATTAAGCAATAAAATTGACCGAGTGATTCGTTGATACTTCCGGATATTAATGGATTCGTTGAGTAGTGAATAATCTTCCATTACCAGCTATTGGTACTTCTACTTCTCTTCCTTTATTCTAATTTCTCGAGGTGTCTTCTGGTCGGCTCTCCATAAATTCAATGTCCGCGTAACGAGCGCTCTGTCGGAAGAAGAATCGCCGGTGTTGTGTCTTCCTGATGAAAAAAAAGGGAAAATTCCTCGAAATCGAGAACGAGCTGTATAACTACTATTAGTTCGAGTTCGATCCTCTAAACCAGAAGACACCTCGTTAACAAGAGTAATCGGCAATGTCTGGGCACAACCGATGAAACATTGACTTTCTCGATTGGTGTACAACTGTGTCGGGTCAGCCGCGGATCCGAGATTCTTTTCACCTGTATGTCCAATAGGCGAACGCCGCCTCGGCGCGAGGTCCCCGACTCGGCGGCGTGTTTACCAATTGTAAATGTAAGAGGCAATCAAATATAAGTGTCACTGATACGACCGAGTGTCGCCCGGAGGTATGCCGAGTTTCTTTTCCCGTTCTCGCCACACACAGCGCAGCGCGGCGACCCGGTCGGACGGGCGGACGGACGGACGGGTCATCGACGAGCAAGTGTGAAATAACCTCTTCGTCCGAGGAAAACAAAAAACGACCGAACGAAGAGGCAGAAGCGATCGAGGAGGTGGAAGGAGGGAAAGAGAAACGAGCATGACCAGACAGAGCTCGATGGAATGTTGGACGCTGAAAGGTGTAACGGAACCTGTTCTACTCCCAACGCGTCCCACGCACGGCACAAGGTCAATACATCGATCCTCGTTCGCGATGCGATCGCCGATACGGCACAGATTCCAGCGATCATTTTTCCATATTTCCTACGAACCAATACCTCGGAGGTGTACGACTTACCGCCGCGAGAAGTATATATCACGCTTATTAGGGTCTAGTAAGCTGTCCTCGTTCACAAGACGAACGAGCTGTACGCACGATTCGTCCGCCCTGTCTCGGACATTTCAGCTTTCGAGGACTGGCCGAGACCGTGCGAAAGATAAGAGATATCGACGAGAAAGCAATAACTTTAATTCGTAGATAAGCGGTTTCGCTCTTGGATTTATCGAGTCCAAGTAAACCGCCTTTTAAGTTATGCCGTTCTTAATGCCTATCGTGTCTTTTCTTAGATTTATTAGGAATTCCTAGGATTCGTAGATTGTCAGGGTATAAGCCTATCTAATGGTGCTTTCAATTAAATTCAGTGTTCGACGAATCTAAGGACACTTAGTCTCTAGGAACAGCCCAAGGATGCTACCATCGTTCGAGAATAATATTCATATAGGTACCAGCATCGACGAGCATTATTTATAACAATAATCCTAGCTACGGCGATAAAATAGGAGTCGCTCGCCGCGATACATGCAATATTCATCAGCGCCCATTCCGCGTATCGGCGGTACAACCTCGAAAATCGTTTCTCCGGTCGCGCAGCCTTTCCTTTAGCCCGGCAATCGGGAGTTACACGTTCGCCGCGTATGTATACACGTGTCTCGCATTAATCCGCGAAACCGTTCGAACGATATTCCGCGTTAAGCGTTCGCGGTGGAAACGAGAGCTAGGCGGCGGGAAAAACGAAAATGGGCACGGGGGAGGAGAAGAAACAAGGATCACCGAGAGTTTATTATGGTTTGCTAGACAAGCTCGTTGCATGTTTGTTTCAGCTGTTTATAAAGTCGCTTATTGAATCGCATGCCGCGGCAAGTGGTATGCTGAATACAGGTTTCGCGTCGTGGAAAGAAAGGCGAACACTGCCCAACTGGTTTACCGGGTGAGGTATGTGGAAAATAAGGCCAAATAATAAAGAGTAAAAGAAACATCCCAGCGCGCCGGATTAACCGATCGATGCCGATACCTGGGAGCACGGTGATTTACACTCGAAAGGGAATATTCCGGAGACGGTGCGCACATCCAGAATTTTTTCCCCCGAGAACCGTGTCCCGCGGAATGCACGGTTGTCGTAAATTCGTCGCGAGCCTCGCGCGAGCGTTAAGGGTAATTCAGCGAGGGTGAGAACCCGGGGAGCCGCGTATCGACAGTCGATACTCGCGACACCGCGGAAGACAAGGAAGCGCTCTTTCCAGGTCCGTGTCAGGAGACGAGCTCCCTTGTTAAAAAGCGACAGTTCCGCGGTCGATTTCTACTCATTTGAATACAGATACCGAACCGAACCGCGCGTCCATTTGCAGCCGTCCGACGAAAATCCGCCGGACACTCCTTTCCTCTCAAGCGGCGACTGCTTGTCGGGTAAAATAGGCGGTCGCGTAGGATAAAATTCAGCCGGGGCAGTGTCCTCTGAGGACGCAAACCGGCAACAATTGCGGAGAACCGTACGCGAAACGGGGATACTGGTAACACTGTAATGATTCGACCCACATATTAACGGAGAGACCAGCGCTCCCGTAAAAGGAGCAAGATTCAAAACTGTTACCGCTACTATTACCAGGAAAGTCGTAATACTAGTTTGACTTCAGGTATTTAGCATACGCTCGATCGAATCACGCCCGTCCGGAGCGAAGCGCTCGAATCGAAGAAATTTTCGATGGTTGGCGATAGTCGCGTTGAATTAATTAGAGAAACCACTGGTTCGTTCGATTAGTTGTTCCTTCGGGAAACGCTACAGTTGACGGCTAGTCCGTCAGATGAACCGTCTTTGTTCCGTACCCATGCAGGCTGTTAAGTCCCACGCTGTGTCATTCCTAAAAATACTCCGTGGATTACCTGAACGGGCTGCACTTTTCCCATGGCGAGTTTCTCGAATCCTCCCTCTTGAATATCCGAGTTCCAAACCGGCGTTGCCAGGGTTGCCAACCAAGAGATTCCACTTCCATGTGGTTCCACTTTTCAACAACTTCGCTCGTTTAATTTTCGTTGTTAACCTATGGATTTCGTAGTCCTCGACGAAGGTAACCAGACTGGAGACATGTACACGAATACGCATATCCCATCGTGTTCAAAGAATTCGAAATTCCTTAAATTTCTTCGAGTTCGTAAGAGTCTTTGAATACGCTTCGAAGAAACGCACGCGTTCGGGATATTACTCATCGTGTAAATCCTCCGCGCAGCGAATTCCGTGAATTCATTCACATCTCCGGTGTCCGTTGAAAAGTGGAACGCTCTTAAACGAAACATTACCACATCCGAATCGAAATTAGAAACGAATCCGGACCCTCCATTCAGAAACCGACAGCTGTTTACCGTGTTTCGACACGGAGCGCGAGAGAAAGGCGCCGCGTCCTTAAAATTCAAGAACAATTTGCCTCGAATCTGAGTCGCGCCTCGTCATCGAACTGTTTTAAATGGCAAATGCGTCTCCCGAGCCGTCGAGGCTCGTTCCATCCGACGCCGCCTTCCCGCGAGAGAAGGACTTTCTATTGTGCAACGGGGAGAGTTCTGGAAAAACGCGAGTAACAGAGGATCCTCGCCGGCCCGCGGCGAATTTATTAAAGAATTACACGCGTTCCGCTTTCCCGCAAATATAATTACACGGTCGTTCGCATCGCTTACAGCGGATCCGCGGGGAAACAAAGGACGAACGGTTGCGCAACGGTCCCCGTACACTTCCGACTGAGAAACGTTCTAAACGCGGTGAAAATTCGCGAGAGTCGCCGAGCTAATCGCGACGCTCGCTTTCCATTCGCATGAGTATTCGCTCGTGGCGAGCTGACGGTGTCCGGGAAGCTGCTGGAACATCGCCGAGCCGCGTCCACCGGCGCGGACGGTTCTACGGTGAAGTTTCGGCAGGTGTACAGGTGTAACAGGTACGCGGAATGCGTGCGCGCGCGGGATCTCGCTCGGCTACACACGGACACGAGTGCACACGAGAAAGCCGGTGAACGGTAAAGAACAGGTATTTAAATGAGAAACCGGATAGTCGATTCTACCTGGCTCGGTAGAGGACGCCACGTCCTCCTCGGCAAGTGCTTACGTGCCAGACGGCTTCCAAGACTCGTTCCCGTCGGCCCCGCTCCGTCTTTCTCGCTTATTCATCGGCGCACAGGCTCGCGGAGCTGGTCCTTTCACTCGCTAACGTGTTCACTTGTTCACTCGCACGTCCCACCGGCTGCTTATTTACCTACTCACACCACGGCTCTATTCTTTCGCTTGCTCCCTCATTCACGCGGCCGTTCGCCGCTCGTTTACTTTCTCGCTCGCCTCCTTCGTCTCTCGTCTCCCTTGTTTGCATACGGTAGCCCTTCCTCCGTCTCTCTCGGCTAGCCTCCGTTCCCCTCGCCCTCCCGCCGTCTCGAGACGCGAGTCCCTGTTCTGGCCCACGGTTCTTCCCCCACCTCGCTCGGGAACGACTCGACGTTCCCACTCCCTGTCCCATCGTGCCCCCTCGCGAGGCCCAACTTGGACCCCCACCCGGGCAACGAAACTGCATGAGTAAGTGTCAGAGCCACTCAGTACAGTTACTGACGGCCCGTACCGTGAACGATCGCCGCCGTCGTCGTTGTCGTCTTCGTTGACACCGTCGAGCAGAGCCGAGTTCGTTCTACCATGCGCTGCACTCGATAAACACATGCAGTTAGTAAGTGGCGGTACGCTTCGTATCTTGCTCTCCTGCCTCCCTTCTCGGCCTCTCTTCCGCGCCGTTTCCCGGGGCTTCTCTGTCTCGGGGCTCCACTCTCTTTCCCTCTTTCCGACGTTCCTTTCCATCGAGTGCCGACCGTTCCGTCGTCCCTGGGGATAGATTTTCTGCGACTCGCGTGCATCGCAGCTGTTCGCAGGTGTTTTGTATTCCGCGCGAACAAACGAGCCTCTTTAAACGACGTCCCAGGAGTGCCGTAAACGCGACCGATTGATCCTCGCGCCGCAACCACTCCCGCGATAACGATCCTCGGATGCGTCGCGGTCTCATCGCTCGCTCTCTCGATTCGCCGATTCAATTCCGCCGTCCGTGTCGCGGCTTTTCTCTCGTCGCTCCTGGATTCGAGACCGTGGGAATAAAGGATCGAAATTTCTCCGGGACTAACGATCGAGTATCCGCGAAGTGTCTCTTGTGCCGTCACGAGTCGAACCCCGGCGAACAGTCGTACGGTCGACGGGAAATTAATTTAAATATAAAATCCACGGTAATCGCAACGGCGATCGCGACTCGTACCCAACGACTCGATTAAACAGTGTAGCAGTAAATTTAAAGCACCGTGTAGTTGTATTCCTTCTACGTCGTAAAAGACCCATTCATAAATTCTAGACCCCCGATAGGCTTCTCGAAAGGGAAGGAGAGAAAGATAGAGATAGAGAGAGAAAGAGAGAGAGAGAGAACGACGAGCAGAAGAGTGAAAGAGAGAGAGAGAGACAGAGCGACAAGTGGGGGAACGTTCGGAAAGAGAGCAACCGAACAGGGCGTCCGTTCGATCGGTGGATCAGGTATAGTTCCATGAAGAAGTGACAGTGGTTTCGGATGTGTATATGGACGAGACCGCCACGATGACCGTTCCACCGACACTGCCGGCGAAGGCTCAGGCCCGGGATGCGAGTCAGGTTGCCCGACAGACTGTGTCAATCCGGACTGTTTCCAATCCCCCCACGGCCACTCTGAGCACCGGGGCCGGAGCAACGGTATTCGTCGGACTGGCCGCTCCTGGCGTTGATTCCGCGGCAGCCTGTAGGAGAAGAATCCCGGAAGTGCAATCCGCGAACGGGTACGGTAAGCAGACCAGCGTGAAGCCGCCGGTACAGAGCCAGCAACAGTCCAGCCCGCAACAGCAGCAGAACCACCAGCAGCAGCAGGCAGCTCACGTGGTGAAGATCAAGATCAATCCAGATGGTGACAAGAACGGCAGAGTGATATCGACCGTACGACTAACCCTGGACGAGAAGATCGGCCAGGAAGCCGAGCAGGAGAACGGTATCGCGTGCGAACGTTCGAGCAAACGTGACGTTGGTGGTGTTGTCGTGAGTGCGACGAATCTGGTGAACGAGCAGCGTTGTGGAAGTGCCGGTGCCGGTGAAGCCTGTGTGAGGATCAGTGTCGGCTGCAACGCGTTCGAACAGAACAACAACGAGCACGACAAACACGACCGCAACAGCAGCTCGCCGAAAGACATGGTACACCGCGACAGCCCCGACACCCTGAACTCCTCGGCGAACGGTCGATCGAACGCCTGCTTCTACTACAACTCGTACCAGAGCCCGTTGAACGGCATGGTGATGTCCAGCGGCCAGTGTTCGCCGAGCGACACCTTGGACAGCGGTACGTGCAGCGACCTCGACGGCACACCGCCGCCGTTGCCCAAGAAGAAGAACGCCAGCACCGTTCTCCTAGCCAGCGAGCAGCACAAGCGCACCGGCAGCTTGACCAGCAGCGGCGCGGAAGTGGACAGCGACGATAACGAGAGCAACATCAGCTGCGACTCCCTGAACGCCGGTGACCTCAGCGACGGGATAGTAGGACGGAACGTGAACGGGAGCATCGAGCCTGACCGGCAGTCCCTCGACTACCAGGAGCCCGATCATCACGAGCATAATCATCATCATAATCACCACCATCATCATCGTCTGGAGAACGGCGTCGAGGACCGCGGCAAGGGCACCGTTCTGAATCTAAACCGGCTGGACCTGTCGAACGGAAACGACCACATAGACACGGGCAACAAGGACTCGACACCTGTCGCCACGACGCCGGAAGTCGAGTCGAATTCTTGCTCGTCCGCCGGCTCGCCCAGCGTCTCGCCGTCACCGTCCGCCGCGTCCACTCTGTCGAAGGCGTCGTCCACGCCGCGGATCAGGAGCCCAGACCCGTCTGCCGAGCCCAACGGGAAACCGTCGTCCTCGCCGGTGGTGCAGGAATGCACCTACGAGGAGAGGAAGCAGGAGCAGGAGAGGCGGACCGCGCAGGAGTCGGTCGACGTCGACACGAGCATCAATCCCGTCACCGGCAAGAAGTACGTGTACGAGTACGACAGGTTTTACAAGTTCCACGTGAACGAGCTGAAGGGGAACAATAAGGACACGGGCAGGGGAGTGGTGTTGGGGGATAAGGACACCGACGAATGTTTTGCCGGTTACAAGATCCTCGATAAGGAAGCCATACGGAGTGCCAAGGGAACTGTGCGCGGTGTCAAAAACAGGGTGCGCGCCGGCATCGCGACGTTTCTCCAGAAACCATCGTCACAGGTCGGTGCACGCGTCAACTGAATACGCGGGGGTAGAACGGGCTGAATCGGATCACGGGGTGCATCGGAACGTGACGGAAGTCTACTCTACATTCGTAATACAGGAAATATTGTATTTCTTTTCGTCTCTTACTCGAGCAGGTTTACTCGCTTCAGGAGTTCTTTTCGTTTCTTCTCGTTAACGTTCGACTAGCTTTATTTCTTTACCATCGAGCAAAAGATGATTCGATTCGCCTCGGTCTCCGCCGCACACGGCTATCTTAAGTCCTCCGCACACGTCGAAACCTGTCGCGATACGTCGGCTCGCAGCTTTCATGGAACGGTGAATGTACAGTTTACAGCCGCCTTTCCCGGTTTTAAACTATTCCGACGCCGTTGATGTTTTGGAGCTCGATCCTATCGCCAACTCAGACATAACCCAGATCCAGTTTCAACTGTCAACGGAAATCAATACTAAATAAACAGCAAAACTCGGGTGAATGCCATGAAACCTCCAGTATCGGTGTTGGCTTGCCCCACCGCCGATTCTTCTCGGTTCGTTGCGCGGCGTCAGTCTCTTCTGTCGTCGATCTACATAGCTACATTGCAACGTGTATCTTGAAACCCGCCAGTTGGATGCATCGCAACACGCTCGAACGTGCGTGGAAGCCTTTACGCTCGCCCAGTCCCTCCGTTGAGGAATTCCTGTTGCGTGCCAATTAACGGCCGATCCACGCCGCCACGGAATCCTAAACAGCCGCGCAAATGCGCGCGCGCGCGCGGGAGAAACGAATGAAAACTTTAAATTAACCGATGTTTATCGCCGCGCTCCGGGGACGATGCTCGCGGCGGAAGGTTATCCGCGTAGAACCGCGCGGGAGGGGTGGGGGCGCGGGTAAAAATGGACGGGACCACGGGCAACGAGTTCAAAGAACCGCGGCGCTAAACTTTTCTTATTAGATCCATGGGAAAGTTCTGTCGTTTCTCTTATTCGCTCGTTCCGCGCCGGTGTAACGTAAACAACCGATAGCGAGGGAGGAGGAGGAGGAGGGGGGCGGCGGGCCCCGATCGTGGCGCAACGTTTATTATTATCTAATCCGGCTTCCTATTTTGCGGTCGCTATATTTAACCTATTTTGCGTAGGAATTCTCGCGCGTTCTTTCGCCTGTACTCCCGTTTCCATTTTTAATTGGCCGCGCTAGGAGAATCAGCTCGCCGCTTCCTCGTGGCGCAGTGTAACGCACTCTTAAGAATACGTCGGGAGTTCCATTATCGAGTCCGACTAGGAAGCCGAGAGTGTCCGAACGAATGAACACGCGGACGATCATGCCCGCGAGGCGAATGCATTTTTCATTTTCTCTTAATTATTTTGTTTACCTCGCGATCACGTCTTCCGGAACTGTATGGTGTACCTCGTAATAACGAGGCATCATTATCGGCTTCGTTAAGAGCTTCAGTTCCTTTTTTCGGTGTAATTGCCCGCGCCGCGCCGCGCCGATCGCGTTTTCACGCTGGCTACGGAATAATCCTGAATGTTAAGGTTCACCGGGAAGGAATCTCTCTTTCATAAAGCGAGCATGAAAGAGAGTTTGATTGGGTTTGCGATTTAATGGAAGTAGAGGCTGTGGTTACGTCAATGGAAAACTGATGAAAGTATCAGGCTTTCGACGGCCGCGCGGACGTCGTGTCGCGTAAAACGGTCCGCTGGATTCCCTTCGAAAAACACAATTTCTGCCTACGCTTAGTTAGCCGCGCGCACCTCGTAATCCCGTAGGCATTTCCAGGAATTTACGCGGGCGGTATGACCCATTTTCGTGCATTCGACCGTGTCTACGGGCGGGCACTGAATAGGCACAATCCGCCCGGGGAATTATTCGATTCGCGTCTCTGCAAACGAATAATTACCCGGATAAAATTCCGTTCGTTAATCTTATCTCCCGGCTGCAATTTTCCCAGTCATTGACTCGTAATTATTCAACGACGCTGTTTACGGCCGTAGGAGCGATAAAACTTTCCCGTGAACCCGGCATTTCCCGTTCCGCAGCTTCGAAAAGCCGCTGACCAAGATACGCGCGACCGAAGGAGGGTGGTGAAAGGCATACACAAAGGTCAGAGGGGTACCGTGTCGAAAAATTTGCAAGTGGTCTAGATACCGCGGGGCCCGGAGCGCCGTGCTCCTGCGCCGCGATTTTCGCGTGCACGTCGAATTCCGTGAAGGTAGATCGAAAATATTCATCGCGAAAGGGCGACGTCCCTCGTCCGTCATCCCGATGACTGATTAGAGGCACGCAATCTGGTTCGCTCGTAGCTCCGACCGGCTACCCGTAACCGTATCGATGAATAGCAAATTAGTATCAACGCCGAGGCAAAGATGAAAGCCGACCAATTAGACCCGCATTCCTTCCGGCGCAACGAAGAGTAAGTCACGGAGGTTCGCTGCAGACTCGTCGAATTGTTATGCAAATCAGCCGTTGACACCGAGACCGGGTGACCAGCGTTTGAAACAGGGTCGAATCGTAACGGCCGGTGCTCGTCCACTCGACGGGTCGGCTGTCTGGTACACTCGCCGGGGAGCACGCGAAAAGCGTTAGATTTACAGTTAGATCACCTCTTGTCCAGCGTTGGGCGATCGGTTCGGATCGACGTTGACTGGCGTCGATCGATGACGCCGCGTCGTCCTCCCGTGCGGTGTCCTGGTGCACGGGTTTCCGGTGTTGCCATGCGGGAACGTGCCGCACAGACGTGCCGGCGAATCGCACCGTCGATGCAGAACGGATCGACATAACGGTAGATCCGATAGAGCGATATTACGGCAACGTGCTGGAGACCGTGCTCGTTGCCCCTAGCTGGAAACCTGTCTCCCTCCTCTATGCGCTGTGCCTTTTTTTGTTTCTGCAACCCCTTTCGCGTCACTTGTTTTCATTGTAATTCTCGTTCACCCCCCCACTGATAAATCCGGTCGTTCGCCTCTGTTGCGAATCGGTAGCGTTTCCTTTTGAAATATATATTCTTTGTAGCGTTAATATATTCGCGTTGCGCGTTGAAAAATCAATAAGCGATTAAATTTATATTGAATAATATAAAAAGTCGTACGTATTGTGGTATTGTGTGTTTTATATACGTCTTCTCATCGATTGGTTTCAAATAAGGTCTATATTTTACCGGAAAACGTGGAATATTTCTAGTGGGGAATTTTCGAGTGCAAAGGGTTAACAACAGGAAGATAGGTATTTAACATCACTGCATCGATATTGTGATATTAATGGTATTTGAATATGTTTTATTTAAAAAACCACAGGAATAGATAATTGAATAGAAACAAATAAATAGAAATTATATAGCTCGCAGTGTACAGGTCATTTCTCTTCTCAGGTCAACGCAACTCTCTCGAATCTCTCGCCATCACTTAAAAATCATTCTCTCCCCCACAAGCATTCTTCTTACACTTCCAACAAATTCTCAAACGCACCCTACTCTCACCACCACGCACAAATCATCCTCGCTTACGCATCCCTCGGAAAACCCACCAACCCTTGGGCCTGGTCTCCATGAGTCCCTTTCTCTTTTATGGCCCTTAGAACACTCGCTGTCCCACTGTCTTAAAACCACGATACTACATTACTTAGAGGCTTCATTTCCGAGATAAACTTCGAAAGTTCGACAGGAATATACTAGGACATCGCAAGAAGTAGAAACGGTGCGCCATAGACGGACGTTGCTTGATTCCTACAGAAGTAGCACTTACCTTCTTCTATATCGAAATAAGTCTCAGTAAAAAATGTTACAGATTTTAACATAAAAAATGTTAAAACGATTACATGTCACGGTGCAGTTTATCACTAGAACTACCAGTCGAACTGACTGATTTCAGTTTTTCTGTTTCGCAATTATTGATATCTTCAAAGCATTGAATATTCGACATGACTTTGAAAGTAAATAGTTTCACTCGAATACTCTAATGAATGTCTGAAGGAACTAAAATAATCTATTACTACAATATTCATAGCGATTACATTTCAATCGTATCAAATGCTCGATAGTTCTAGTGTTAACGTTTTGTGAAATTACAGACACGAAAGAAGGTAGAGAGGAAAGTGTGCGTACGCTCTTGGAAGCAAGGTGCACCAGGCGGGAATTCGTTGTTGGTCCTCGGTCTCTCAATATTTCGGCGCGCACTCGATTGATCGACTCGCTCCACTCGAGATGCTTGGCCGCCACGGCCGACCGGAGTTTCGAGAGCCCGGACCAGAAGAGAAATCTGTTATTACGGTCCGTTTTTGCCGGGACGGTAAAATGCGAGTCGACTTGTCGTGGTCCACTTGGAACGAAACTCATTTAGACTGGACCGAGGCGTAATAAGTGGTTCATTTGGGTATGGGTGGTGCCGGCGCACGCCTTTCTATAATATTCCATTCGTAGGTGCACCGGTGCAGCTCGGCCACTCGCACGCGTTACGGTTAACGGCTTGTACATGGTGATTCTAATTTCATGATGGTACACCTCGCGTTTAACAAGTTCCCGCAGAAACAACGTTTCATGTTTTAACCGTTTCAGTCCGGTGAATGTTCGCAAAAATTCGGTCGAAAAATGCCAAGCGGCGTTTATATTCTCTAATAAAAAGTTTTTGAATACTGCGATCGTTCTGTGTTTCCATTTCTAAGCAGGCAACGAACAAAATAAAAATAATTAGAAGGAAGACGAATAAATAAATTTCATTTGATTCTACGGACCGATAGGCTAGCAGTTTTAGACAGTATACATGAGAAGCGCACTTGGCACTTAAACAGTTAAGCAGGAAGTGCAACTGCACTGTACATTGATGTTCGATTTCGTATTGATTCGTAGATTTCCATAGTTCCCATAATTTCCATAACGTCATCGTGATATCGTAGTATCGTAGTTTTAACCCTTTAAACTCTGTATTCTCCAATATTGCACCAGTTATAATATTAAATATTTTAATGAATCTTAAAGGAACTACTCCAAGTATAATACCGTAGATTATAGCTTTAAATAATATTT